AACAATGTTAATAGGATATGTGAAGTCGGCGATGAAGTCTGCCACTGCTTGGCCCTTCTCAGCTGGCTTTGGTTGGTAGGAGATGTCAAACTCACCCAATGTTATCGCCCATTTGATCATTCACCCGGAAATGTCAGGACTTTGGAGTATCTGTCTAAGAGGATGATTGGCAAGTACGATGATGGAGTATGCTTGGAAGTAAGGGTGAAGTTTTCGAGCAAACCTGACTAATGCTAGAGCCAATTTCTCAATGTTGGAGTATCGTGTCTCCGCATCTTGTAAGGCCTTACTAGCGTAATAGACAGGCCGTTCAACATTACCATCATTTCGAATGAGAACAAAACTTACTGCTGAAGCCGATACCGACAGATAGATAATGAGAGTGTCACCAACCTCAGGTTTGGAGAGTAGATGGGCTTTACTCAGGTAGTCTTTGAGGTTCTTGAACGCCTCAGCACATTCATCAGTCCATGTAATGTACTTCTTACTTCCCTTAAGTGCTTTGAAGAAAGGAACACATCTGTCTGTGGCCTTAGAGATGAACCTAGTTAAGGCTGCCACTTTGCCAGTAAGGCTTTGGATGTCTTTTGAAGTTACCGGTTCCTTCATGTCGATGATTTCTTTGATCTTCTCGGGATTAGCCTCAATGCCTCGTTGGCTTATCATGAAGCCTAAGAATTTGCCAGAGCCTACGCCAAAGGCACATTTGTTAGGGTTCAACCTCATTCAATATCTCTTCAGAATGGTGAAAGTTTCAGATAAGTTGGTGATGTGTTGGTCAGCATGTTTGCTCTTAACTAGCATATCATCAATGTAAACTTCCATGCTCTTCCCAATCTGCTCGGCGAACATTGAATTGACTAGTCTTTGATAAGTCGCTCATGCATTCTTTAGGCCGAAGGGTATGACTTTATAGCAACATAGTCCCCTGTCAGTAGTGAAGGTTGTGTGTTCTTGGTCCAGAGGGTTCATGAGGATTTGGTTGTATCCTGAGTAAGCATCCATGAAGCTCAGGAGTTCACACCTTGTTGTAGAGTCTATTAGTCTGTCTATGAGAGGAAGAGGAAAGCTATCATTCGGGAATTATTTGTTTAGGTCGGTGTAATCGACACACATTCTCTACAAGACCTTTTGGAGCAGGAAACTTTCCTTGGTCGGATTCTTCTTAACAAGGACAACATTTGCTACCCACGTTGGATAATTGACTTGCGGACGAAGCCTATGCCTTTGAGTTTTTGACTTCTGCCTTCATTGCCTCGTACCGTTCAGCGTCATAGGATCTTCGATTCTGTCTCACTGGCTTGGTCTTGGGGTCAATACTTAAGCGATGACAGATGATATCGGGAGAGATCCCTGGCATGTCATCGTATGACCAGGTGAAGACCTTAGTGTTCTCTTGCAAAAAAGAGATCAATGCCAACTGAATAGGTGGTGACAAGGTGGTGCCAATCTTCACCATATGATCCAGATAATCTTTTGAGATAGAGATCTTCTCCAACTCTTCAGTGGGTTGTGCTTGCTGGGTGAAAGAGTCATCTCGATGATCGTCGAATTGATTGTTGCTACCGTGAAGATCCAAGTTGGCGTCGTCTGGGCTGGTCTTTATGACTTGGTTATGTATAGAAAAGGTTTCCTTGGGCACATCCAGGTGTTGTTGCTTGACCGAAGTGTTGTAACTTGATCGTGCACTAAATTGATCTCCTGTGATGTAACCATTGCCATAGAGGGTTGGAAATTTCATCAACAACATATGTGTGGATACCATAGCCTTGAGATCATTGATGCCTGTGCGTCCCAAGATGACATTGTATACCGTTAGGCAATCAAGCACCAGGAAGTTAGTGGAAATGGTAGCTATGTAAGGGCCTGTACCAATGGTGAAAGGTAAATGTATGCTCCCCAAAGGTTGCACGATATCACCGGAGAAGCTTATCAGAGGGGAAATCGAGTGATCGAGCAAGTGTTCAGCTACATTAAGTGCCCTAAAAGCTTCGGCAAACATGATATTGACCGAAGCCCCCGTGTTTACCAGGATTCATCGTACTTCAAAGTTGGCTATGTGAGCTTCCACGATCAGTGGGTCATTGTGAGGGTAGATGATACCTCTTTCTTTCTCAGGGTAGAAACATATTGGATCCCAGTTAGGCTTTTGATGCTTGCCTCTCCTGATGTCTTTCACGTGAAACATTTGGTGGCCAGACTTTAAAGCTCGTTCACTATTTTTCATGGCCCTGTTGGAAGATTTAGATATGGGTGTGCCACCACTTATGGAATATATCACATTCACCTGGCGTTGGTTACGGTTACCCATTGGAGGGTGAATGAGGAATTGATCAATTTTTCCTTCACGTGCCAAAGCTTCAATATGATCACGAATGGTGATACACTTCTCGTCGTCATGGCCGTTATACTCGTGGTAGAAACAAAACGTGCCTGTGTTCTTCGTAGACTTGTAATCCGGGTGCCTCGGCTTTGGCTTCGGTATCAGGTGTGCTATGCTGGGGTAAATGGCCATGCATGTGGTGTTCAAAGGTGTGTATGCCTCATACCTCGAGGTAGGGACTGTCCTGACACGTGCTTGACCCACTGTGTTGACTGTCTGGGGTCGGGGATTATCGTGGTGATACCCTTGGTTATTGCGGTAGTGTCCTTTACTCCTTGTACTAAAATGAGACTGGTGAGGATGGAAATCTTTCCTTTTGCCCTGAGATTGATATGTCTGTTGACTTGGCAAAGTATTAAGTAAGGCAGGGGGAGACACCGCCATCGTTTAGAAGGTCGAGGTCTTCTTATTTGGTTGAATCTGGCTTTCACTCCCTACTTGCTAATAAGGGGTGGCTGTAGGGGGGTTTCCCTTGATATGTTTTTGCCTCGGCGGAGGCATGGTTGTAAGTTTGTGCCATCACCTCAGAGTAAGTCTTCCAAGTGTTGGCATTGATCATGTACTTGAAGAAATAATCACGTAGGCCTGCCGTGAAGGCTTTGAGGGCGGTCTTGTCATCTACCTCAGCGCAGCGAGAATACTCATGGCTGAAGCGATCGGCATACTCTCGTAGTGACTCGTCTGGCTTCTGGCGAATAGTGTACAAGTCATCTGCAGAATGCAAGCGATCGGTCTGGAAAATGTGTTGAGAAACAAACAGTTTCCTCAATTCCTCAAATGAGTCTATCGTCTCAGGTGGAAGACGGCAATACCAATTTAGAGCTCCGCCAAAGAGGGTAGAAGGGAAGAGAAGACATCGCTCTTCGTCGGTGTGCATCTGGTATGCCATTGTGGACTTAAAGAGGTTAAGGTGTTCAATCGGGTCCTCCTTTTCAGTATAGAGTTGCAAGCCAAGCTTCTGCTTTGTCTTTGCTTGAAGGGGGTGTCGATGATCCTCATTGTAAGCGGGTCAGGCCTAGGTTGGTTCCAATCAGGTATCTCAGCTTGTCGTTCGGCCTTCAACTTGTTTACTTCCTTAAGAAGCTGTAGGACAAGAGGGTCCTGAGTGGAGTCATGTACCACTAGAGCTTTCTTTCGTAAATCTCCATCTCCTCTTAGAAGTAGGAAGGTTTGATCAAGAGCATGTGTTTTTTCCCTGGACTCGCCGTACTGACTTTCAAGGTATGTCTGTCGAAACATCTCTGAGTCCCTTATACCTTCATGTTTCTCTAGGATTTGTTGCCCCTTCCCTAAATTGGTAGCCAGCCTGGGACGTGAGAGGGGACCGAGCCTTTCAGAAACCCTTAGGTCATTGATCTTCGAGCTTATGTGGAAGGGATTCTCTCGACGTTGCTTTAGAAAGTCTCGGCAGTCACGATAAACAGCTTTCGATCCTTCCAACCTTTCTACAAGAATGTGTCTTCTTCCACTTCTTTTGCTTCGGGTCGAAGCAGCTGGGTTGAGAGAAGTCTCATATTGATCAATGTTTTGATGATTAGCTCGCTCCTCATCAGGGATACCCATGTCGAAGGAAGGTGACCCTCCTTGTTGGGAGGCATCCAGATGATGGTTGATGTCCACAGGGGTAACGAGTTCGCGTGTTTGAGTACGCCTAGTTTTGTGGAGCATCTCAAAGAGCTTATCATACTGCTCCTGGAGAACCTCATTCTTCATTGTTATCTTGTTGTTTTGAGATTCTAGCTCATCGACTTTAGCTTGAAGAGCAACCTTCTTTCCTTCATTCTTTCGTTGTTTCACACTTGGTGCAAGAGGGGTGTCATTCTGTGTGCTGTGGCTTCCTTCACTCCCCATGTTGGAGAAGGATGCCTGGTCAAAAGAGAGTGTACGAATGGTGAAAACCAGCTTAACAAAGCTGAAGAGAGTGAGAATAAGTGTCGTTCCCACAGACGGCGCCAAATGTTAATGCACAAAATCAGTGAGGACTTTGGTACAACAGAAAGTGTTAAGTTTGTGACCTTCACTAGATTGCTCCGGTCACTAATGTGGATAAGTATGTAAATGGATAGAGACAGGGAAGCAAACACAAGATGTACGTGGTTCACCCAGATTGGCTACGTCAACGGAGTAGATGAGTTCTCATTAATTGTGAAGGGTTTACACAAGTACATAGGTTCAAGCTCTCATTTGGTGAGTACTAGTGAATGATTTGGTACAAATGACATTAGGAAATATTGTGAGAGAATGATCTCTATTTATAGAAGAGAGTTTCTAGTTTCATTTTGACATTGACACATGTCGTGTTGTGATTGACTTCTGATGTTGACACGTGCTATGATTGGCTTCTGATGTCAACATGTGTCGTGCTATGATTGGCCTCCTGGTTGGAGGGAAACTCTTCTGGGTCATTGATGGTATAACGTTGACCGATACTCAGTAGTTTCGAGAATGGTCAAGTATGGTACAAACACATTCCATTTTTGAAAAGCCCGTCAAGTAAGCCTATATAAGTAACAACATCAAGGCGAACTCCATACTCTATCATATCATTTAACATCGCGGTGGCTTCTTTCCATTTCCCCATCTTGGATAGATTATTTATGAAACAATTATATGTAACCACATTAGGAGGAATACCCTTCTTTAACATCTCATCAAAAATTTCTTTGCCTATATCAAAACTCCCTTTATCACAAAAAGCACTTATAATGGTATTGTACACACTACAACATCCGCTTCCAAACCTTTTCACTTCAATTCCTCGCAAACCCATCGCCTCATCTACTCAACAATCCTTGCAAAATCCATTGATCAAAGTGCTGTATGTCTTCACATTCGGGTCAGATTCAGACAATTCCATATCAACCAGCAACTCCGTTGCTTCTTTCAAAATTTTAGCCCTGCAAAGTCCATTTATAAGAGTGTTGTAACTAACAATATCCGGGGTTACATAATTTCTTCCCGTTACACGAAACAACTCCATTGCCTTGTTAACCTCATCGTTAGCGCACAAACCCTTCAATGTAAGATTCAGAACATACGGACTCAACTGAAATCCACGCTTTAACAACAACCCCAATACCCTGGGTGCAAATTCGGGGTGATGGGTGTTAACAAAACAAGCAACTAAACAACTCAATGATATAAAACTCGGACGAACACCAACATGAAACATCTTACAATAAACCCGAAAACGCCAATTCATAATTTTTCGACTTTGTGAGAGCGTGCAAGAGCAAATTGCAGGCTGCCCCAGAAGGCAAGCTGTTTGAATCGACGGCGCGGAGGAAACCAGAAACCGCCTCTGAAACTTAAGGGTTGGACTTGCCACAAAGAAACCTCAATTGGGTTTCGACACCGGAGGAAGAAGTCACAGATGGGAGTGAAGAGAAGAGCTTTGAGTAAACGCAGAAGCCATAAGAAGGAAAATTACAGCTTGGGTACAATTTAGGAAGTTGCTTTATCATCATTTTTAGTATGTAATTCGGAGGATTGGTGATGGTGGTACCTTAACCGACGTCGTCCCCGCCGTTGCTGCTTGACACTAAAAATGTTGTTGCTGGAGTTAAAGCAAGCATGCTGAGCTCCGAAAGCGCACGTACAGAGAGAGGCCTAAAAAGTTGTCTCAAACTTGAATTACGGGGCAAGCGGGCATGTAAGGCTATCTCCAACCAATGGTTGTCCAATAGGAGCCTCTGGTCCTCCAAGATTATCTAAGATATTAATATTTTAATAAATAGTATAGGGTCATATATACCTCCGTCTCAACCGAGGGTCAGAAGGTTAGAGTGCTCGTTTTAGCCATGTCATAAAAAAAACCGTCTCAATCCGAGAGCCAAATGGCCATAAGGTCAAACATAATTTATTATTTACTACAACTTAAATTCAAATCCAACAGCTAAGTGACGTTAGCTAGCCGTTGGATTTGAATTTTTTTTTGCTATAAATAGGGTGGATATTGGGATATAATCCACACAACTTTGAATTCAATCTATTTCAATTCAATCTCTTTCAATTCAAGTTTGCAATGAATTACAACTTTGGATCCTCTTCAGATTCCAACTGGGGGTCCTCATCCAATTCCAAAAGAGAATCAAAATGGGCGTAAATGAGATGAGAAGATGAGGAGTCTGATTAAGAAGTTCAAGTAAGGCGCAACAAACAAAACAGAGCAGGCCAACTAAGGAACAACCTCAATGGGGTGGCTCTATTGCTGGTCGCTCTTACAAACCACGAAACAGAGCGCTGACGCATGCCAATCTGATTAACAACTACTTCGACCCCAACTCGGTGTACACAGAAAATGATTTCAGACGTCGCTTCCAGATGAGGCGTTATGTCTTCGAGCATTTACTTTGTGATGTCCAGCAGGTCAAGAAGGGCTCGTGCAAAAATATATGATGAGCCTAATTTGCCTTTCTATCCAAGAACTGGTAGTATCTCTATAGATGAGCACATGAGGCGCTATAGAATGATACGTTCTGGTGCCACAAACAAGTACCTACAACAAGATCTTGTTGCACATCTTTGGGCCCAAAGAAGCATGGAGTAAGCATTACGTTTTATGTTTTTAAATGTTTTTAAAAATGTTGTTTAAGTTTCATGTTGTATAATTTTTATGTTGGTTAATGTTATTTAATGTTGTTTCATATTGTTTAATGTTGTTTCATGTTACTTAATTTAATTTAATGTTGTATAATGGTTTAGGAAGTTATAGGATAAAAAATAGAATTTAAAAAAATATGAAACAAATTTTGTGAAATAGAAGTTATAGGAAAAAAAAATGGAATTTAAAAAAAATATGAAACAAATTTTGTAAAATAGAAGTTGTACAAAAAAAAATATGAACCAAAATTTGTAAAATATAAGTTATAGAAAAAAAGTTATAGGAAGTTATAGAAAAAAAGGGTTTAAATTCATAAAAAAAAAAAAAAAAATTGAATACAACGGCTAGTGACTGGCTAGCCGTTGGAATTCAAATTAGTGTCGGTTAAAACTGCTATTATATTAACATTGCTATTAGTGTCGGTTATAACCGACACTAATAATATAGTATATATTATTTCTGTCGGCTATAACCGACAGAAATAACAAAACATTAAAAAAAAAATGGCCAGCCCTCCAGCCTTCTCCGATTCCGTGGGGCCCTCCCAGATTCCAGAGCCATCTGTCCTAGCCCTTGGTTGGAGACAGTTTTCGAGCTATTTTCGGCCCTCTGGCCATCTCTACTCCAACCGATGGTTGGCCAGATGGCTCGTTTTAGTCCTCTAGCCCTCCAAGATCCTCCAAGATATTAATATTTTAATGAACAGTACATGGCCATATTTGCCTCCGTCTCCAACCGAGGGCCAAAGGGCCAGATGGCTCGTTTTAGCCCTGTCACAAAAAATCGTTTCCAACCGAGGGCCATATGGCCAAACATAATTTATTATTTAAATTTAAAAATAACAACTTAAATTTAAAAACTATAACTTATATTGAAAAACTACAACTACAATTTAAACTACAAATTAAATTTAAAGGAATGGTGAATGAATGGTTTAGGTATTTATAGGAAAAAAAATAGAATTTTTAAGAATTAAAAAAAAAGGCCCAAAAAACCTTTTAAAAAAAAATCCAACGGTAACTGGCGCCAGCTAGCCGTTGGATTCAAATTTTAGTTTAAGCATTCCTGTCGGTTATAACCAACAAGAAAGATGATTTTTCTGGCCAGCCCTCTAGCCCTCTCCGATTCTGTGGGGCCCTCTCAGATTTCACAGCCCTCTGGCCTAACCCTCGGTTGGAGACGGTTTTCAGGCTATTTTCGACCTTCTGGCCCTCTAGACCCTTCGGTTGGAGATGGCCTAAGCTTTTCGGTCAAGGGCAGCTACGACAAGTTCTGACAACTCAAGTGGTTGTAAAGTCTCCAAACTCCTATCCTTGGAGACTTGTAGAGCCACTTGCTAGAACTTGTCATAGCTACTTGGGGTTCGAGTATAGGGTTTGTACTTAAGGTTCACTCACTCACTTCTTGTTGGAGTGGAAAATTTCGGGTATTTCAATTTTCCACCAACGAGTAATCTTGAACATATTAAGAAGCTTAAGACATCATCTTCGATTGCCATCAATGAGGGAGGAGGGGTGACACACCCCGATCCCAATGTCTGAAGGACAACATGATGGCCATGTGCTGGTCAATACCTGAGGGTGACGCAAACCATATCATTTAATGCATATGCTGAGAACATGTAAAACATGCATATAATTTTTGTGTGTAACCACGCAAAGTAATATCAAAATGCAAAATTTAACAAAATAATAGTAATAAGGTACATGTCACTAAACCAAAGGAGAATATTCAACTGCCAACATTGAAAAAGTGATAATGCATGAACATGTTCAGAGCATACTACTAAGTCGAAATACAAGTAGAAGGGATATTAGAAAGTGCGATTACAAGAGATGTCCTACGCAGACAAGAGGACACAAATTCATTGATATGTGAATGCCTCATAGCTCAGATCGTATGCCTTGTTCCTAGGTCCTAAGGGGGCTCAAAAACAAAACATGAGTGTACCAAGTTTATATATAAGTAATACTAAATCACTTTCTCTTCAAATGTACTAGCCCCCAGTTTTAGAAAACCCATATAGCATAATAAGTAATAGGTTTTCCGAAAACCCTAGCATGCCATAAAACCTTCGTAAAACATATATCATAAAAAGTGTGCTAAGTAGTGATATCATAATTGCCAAAAGGCACATCCATTGCCCGCTCGAAGGCACATACATCGCCTGCCCGAAGGCACCTACATCACATGCCCAAAGGCACTACATCGCCTGCCCGAAGTCACATTGTATGAATATCCACTAAGTAAGCGCATAAAATCATGAACATAATCTTTCCAAAATATATATCATTGGAGCTCAATAGCTCAAACATCATATCCTAAATCCATGTTCATAAATATTTCAGTAAACGTAAATTTGATAAAGCATGATATTGCATAAAAGCATAAATCCGATAACTCAATAAGTTTTCATAAAATGTAGTCATAAAATCATGCTTTTCATGTATGCATTTCTAGTAATAAAAAACATACATTTTGAAAGAGGTCCACTCACCAATACTCCGTCACCGAAGAGCCGTTCAAACTAGAGAAGCCAGGGTTGCCACTAACAAACGCATCTAACCATATAAAAGGACTACTTAGTAAAAATATATTAAAATGATTGAATTTGGGAAAATGGAGCGCGGATTTGGAATCAGGACGTCGAAATTAGTCTAAGAGGGGTCCCGGCCAAAACCCGAAAAAAGTCAACCAAAAGTCAACATTGATGGTCAACGGTTGACTCAACCAAGCCGAGCTGAGCCGACCCGAGCCACCGGAGCTCACTAGAAACTGAAATTTTTGGCAAGAAGTTTGGGCAAAATTCAAAGCTTCGTAACTTCGTTGTTTCATAACAAAATTCGACCCATAATATATTAAAACGAAGCTAGAGAAGTGTAGAACAGGATTAAACCTGTTTGGAATTCAAAAAGCCTGCAAAGTGTTAGAGGTTGCCAGAAACTGTAGAAAGTTCAAATGGATATAACTTCTTCAATACTCAACTAAATAGAGTGATTTAAAAACAAAAGTCATACATCTCGACGGGACGAAGAGAATGGTACCTTTTCAATGGCTAAATAGTCATAGTTTGGCCAAAAAATGGCTTGAAAGTGGGCTGTCTCGCTGGAAAACTGGGGAAGGTTTCCCCAAGGGTTTGCTACGTCTAAACATTACCAAAACTTCTCTAAACTACTCCCAAACATACACTAAGACATGATCTACAAGTTTTGGATGAGGCTTACCTTTGCCGAAGAAGGCAAGAATTCACTGGAGAAACTCGGTGAACAGTGATGATGCCGAGAGGAAAAGAGGGGTTTAGGGGGTTTCATCCTTGTTCTGGGTTCGTGGGTTCACCTAGAAGGGGGGGGGGTGGTGTCTTTCTTGTTGTTGTTGTTGTGTTGTGTTATTTGTGTGTGTGTGTGCGCGCCCTTGGGGAGGGCAGTTTCAGAGAAAGATAGAGATGAAAGTTTAGAAATGGAGTGAATTGATAGAAAAAAAGAAAAATAGGGGGGTTCACACGGGAAGGGATAGGGCCGAAGGACAAAGGACAAAGAGTGGGTTCCAGTGGCTTACAAAATAAGACTACTAAAGACGAAATGTGAAATATCTTCCAAACGTTTTGAAAATCGTAAAAACTTCATTCTAGTTCCAAATTCGAATTCACTAGCGTCCAAACGTTTGTGGCGTCAAGTACAAAAAGAATAAATTAAGAAAATTAGTCATATGCGTCACGACGAGATGGTCAACAAAAGTCAACGTTCATGCTACAAGAGGCAATTTGGTAAATTCACGCATTTAATAATACAAATACGTAAATATTAAGACGGGGTATCACAAGGGAGATTTGCAAGAAAACACTCCAGCACTCAAGTCAGTCTTTGTTCAGGATGCTTATAAAATTTAGAACGATCGCATACTTCCTTTTCTCCTCCTCTTGTTTTGGTGGGATCCTAAACTTTTTATAGGCAGAAAAGGCTTGGCTCCAAGTCTCATTATCTCACTTCAAGTTCCTTAGTAGTGGTTGATTCATGTTGCTTTATTTAAGCCCCACTCTCCTAATTTAGGATGCATGGGAAATGACTAGTTACTTGACCCTTAATATTTACACCCACACTTCTCACACATAATATATCTAGTTAACGATCTAGAAAAACTCTGATGCCATGTTAAAGTACACGTCATTGCCATTATAAATTATATATTTATCTCTCTCTTACCAAACTACTATATAGCATAAAATTAATCAAGTATAATGAGTCACTACTCATTTTGTTAAGTTTGAAAATCCTTTAAGTTAGTTTCTTGGAGAAGATTTTTATGGGTTTAGCTCTTTAAACTAGTATTCCAAGAGATATGTTCTAATGTAGACATTTTTACACTCTTCAAGGCTTTTAAGACTCCCTATTAATTTTATGAAAAAAAAAAAAGAACTTTCACGAGTCTATGTATACTATTAGTCACTTGGTTATATTCTATTTGAAACGAAAACTACATTAGTGTGAACGTAACCTAACCTAACTTAGAGTTGCCCAACTTTTGACATAAAATTAGAAAAGGGGCCAATCCTTTACCAAATGATTTTGGCTAAAACCCTGTCTCTATTATTGTTAATAAGCCGTCTCGATAGAGTTGAGAATAAAGCCATCTCTAACCGAAGGGTTGAAAAACGCTCGAAAACCGTCTCCAATCAAGAGTTAGGCCAGAAGGCTCATGGGGCCCACATAATCTAAAAGGGCCAAAGGGCGAACCGGCTGGCCACTTTCAGCCAGCCAACCCGCTAGCTAGCCAAATTTCAATTTTTTTTTTTTTTGTTCTTTTCCATTGCCCAGCCCACTTTAGGGTTTAGAGCTTAGTTTTTTATATGGTCCCAACCCACTTTTTGTTTTTAAGGAAAACTAATGAAAATGGTTTGAAAACTTTGATTGTTAACGAAAAGAACAAAAAGGTGTTGTAAGTGGATAGTATTAGGATTGACTTTTTAAAGTAAAAATGTGGTTTTTTGTTAAAGTGAAAAGTACCAAGAGTTTTTTGTTAAAGTTCCCTTGTTTTTATGCCCAACAACTTTTTTTTTTTTAATTTCTAATTTTTTCCTACACCATTTCTCACATATTTTTCACTATTCCATATTATCTTACTTCATTTTATTTTAATTCTTCACATTTCATACTATAGCCATTTGGTCCTCGGTTAAAGACGATTAATTTGTGACAGGGCTAAAACGAGCCCTATGGCCCTTTGACTCTTGGTTGGAGATGGTAAGGAATATGAATCTGCACTTTTCATTAAAATATTAATTTATTGGACGACGATAGGGCTAAAACGACGATAGGGCTAAAACGAGTCTCTGATCGGCATTCGGTTCGAGATGACCTAATGTATTCCTGATGGGCGAACAGAGCACAACTGCACCCACATCCAAACACGACCCCTATCTATAACACGCTCCTTCTCCTCATCCTCAGGCTGTTCGCCAGGAAAGTACAGCGACCGTCGAACATGTCGAAGTCGAAGAAGCAGTTGATGTCTTCAGCTCCGTGGAGGGTGGAAGAAGAGGCGGAGGATGAATTCCCAGAAGGGAAGCTTAAGGTGACGAGTCAGCCAGGGTCGACTCCAACCATGCACGTCCCTCGCAAGAAAACCAAGCGCTCTCAGGACCAAGACGATCAAGATTCTCTCACGGAGATCGATCCTGAGCTCCGCTACAGCTTCCAGCGCAACTTTCAGGTCCTTTTAAGTTTACCCAGTTCGCAATTTCATCAGTTCTTGCTGTTGCGCTCTCAGACTCAAGAGTATCATTTAATTTGGTTGTTTTTGTTTATTTTTTGGAATTATCAAATTTGGCACATAAAAATGTGTTTATTTAAATATCAAATTGGCAATTTGTTTGGTTATCCTGCAGTTAATTGCTAATATCAGTTTAGTTTCTTGCCTTAGCCTAATATGATTCTGAAGATTTTGGGTTTTCTACTTTTCTGGGTTGTGCGTGATTACTGTGTTTTGATTAATTTTCTATCTAAATTTGGTTGTCAGTAGTTGCTTTACGCATGAGATTTTGTGAGAATCACAGCCATTTGCTTGCAAAGTTCTTGACAAATTTTGTAGTTGTACGCCTCAAATGCTTGAGCAAAAGGGGTTACAAGAAATGAGTTACGAGTGGCGCATCTTGGGTAGATTAACGATGTAGCTTATAGCTCATAAGTCATACTGTTATACATATATCTCATATTGGCTGTTTGATGTACTTTATTTACATGTATTCACATGGCCCCTCATGTTCCCGTGCATACTTAATAACTCTGTTGGTGGTATGCACGGAGAACTGGGGCATGGCCTGCCAAAACCAGATTTCAGTAAACCCCTTCTGCCACTGTTTCAGAAGCATTTGAGTTCTTTCTTGACCGATTCGTGTTCTTTAGTTTCATTTAGTTACTAAATCTGGAAGCAAGACATGGCAATAGTATGCAAGTAGGATGGTAAAACTTGGACTTGTTGGAACCACCTAGGTACTGGTCTACTGGCATGCCTCTCCAACTCTGTACTAGAGTCCCCGATTAAAACCCCCTTTCCTGAAGCTAAGGGACAAAGAAAATAAGAAGATGACTTTACTAGTGTTTCTGGCTCGTTTAAGTAATTTAGAAGACAGTCCAAGCTAACTATGGTCTTCATGTTGAATTGACTATCTAGCTGCTTTCGTTCAGTTATGTTTTGTAGATTATTTGCTTTTACATCATTATTTGCTTGGTTCTCTATGATTATCTATTTGGCATATAATTTCCATGTTCCATTTCATTTTTGTGTCTAGCATCTACATCTAAAATTTATTCTTTGATAATTTTATGCCTGACAAATTCGTTTTGCAGTTCCTTCAACGGGTGTTCAGCATTGATACTGTCGTGAAACCTCTTCCTCCCGCCATGGCATACAATGTCTCCCGCAACTTGAACTTCTTCACTCGTATTTTCACACAGTTCTTTGGTACGTATATCTGCTTACACTTTGTGGGTACCGACACTGAGTTGATGAAATATTAAGCATAAATAACAAAATCTGGGATCCTGCCCTCAACCCATTGTTTCTGTGAATGAAGTGGCAATGCTATAGCTATGCTTATATACTACGAGTACTAGAAGCGTGATAACTGTTTATATCTTATTATACTACAGTGAGAGAGATTTTATTTTGCCATGGTTCATTTACATTCCAATATCTGAGGGGAAGCTTTCCTGCTCACGATCGGCCTGAAAACCTCAGAACCAAAGTCAAGAGTCAAAATTTTCGTGGATATGCGTACATATTACGCATGATCTCTTTACTTAGAAGCCAGTTAATTGAAAACTTGGACATATGATAAACCTGACATTATAATCTGGTTAATTTGGTTTCTTGTATTGCAGATCCTGAAGGTATTGCAAATGCGCAAAAATCACTTGGGCTAGGACAGGAAGAAAAAGTTCGTAAAGTTCGTTGATGCATGTTGAGGAATATAGAGTTGAGTAATAAACATTTTGTAATTCTAGTTTTGACTGTGTTTAGCTTGAATGTTGTCCATGACCATGATGGTATATTGTCTCTAAATATTGGGAAATTTGATCTCACAATTTAAATGGCAACACATCTTTGTCGCGAAGTCTGTCTCGAAAAAAGGAAGAAAAATCTATTTGCTTGCTATCATGGAGGAGTATGGGGAAAGGGCATTTCATTTGTTGATGCATATATGGATTATGGAGGCACAATACTCGTACAATATCTTTCTCTCGGGTTCCATTTTACGTACAATTGTAGCCTCATACCACTTGATGTGTCATTGCTTGTGATCAAAGGATGAATATGTATTATATAGGGTTATCAACCCTTAGAAATAACATATCACATTTGAGATGGCGTCGTTTGTCAAAAGATGATTTGAGGTCTTTACCAGCAACAACACAATCTTATCCACTAAGCGGGGTCTATTGTACGAATGAGGCGAATTTGAAACATGGTTCAATCATCCAAACCGTTCTCATTTAAAAATCATCATAGTAAACTATATCACAAAAGTTCTGATGTGGTTAGTAATGAAACCATCATTTATAAGTAGTAACGTATTTTGTCAAATTTCCGATGTGGATCTACGCCGCTTTAAACAATGGTGCAGGTTTTGAAGTGATAGACGAGGTGTTATGGAGTAGGAAGGAACAATGGGCAGATAACTTGTCTACCTCTTCAGCAAGCTTGTAGGGATCGCACGTAGTACTTGTTTTTAGGGTACCTTCTATCCAACGGAGGCTGCAAACATTATGATGGGCAAGGCATCTTATAGTGGTTCCAATACACGATCATATGCTTACCCAATCAACATTCAACAACGGGCTATCCTATGAAAGCCAAGACAATACAAAGCTTTTGGAACTTCTTGCATGCAACAACCTCATCACTGATTGATTCCTTATGAATTGTAAATTTCTTTTAGAGTAAATTGTAGTAATAGTCACTCAACTTTAATCAAATTGGAGCCTCAACAAAAGATCCATTACCATTGGTCCCTCAACTCATCAAAATGTGTAGTTATGGTCATTTTCGTCAACTTCGTTAGAATTTTATCAAAAGAAGTTATGTTGGAAGGACCGTTGGAATGACCATTGCTACAATTGGGATCCCTCAACTCATCAAAACGTGTAAATATAGTCTTCTTCGCCAACTTCATCAGAATTTTGTCAAAATGAGTTATGTTGGAAGGACTATTGCTACAATTGGTTTAAAATTGAGGGACCATTGTTCTAATTGGGTTAAAGTTGAGAGACCATTTCTCTAGTTGGATTAAACTTGAGAGACCAATGGTAATGAATTTTTAGTTGAGGGATCATAGTTGCATGTTTTGATAAGTTGAGGGACCAATGGTAATAGATTTTTAGTTGAGGTACTATTGCTCTAATTGAGTTAAAGTAAAGGGACCATTGCTACAATTTACTCTTTGTTTGATGGTTTTTTTTTTTTTTTTTGTCAAAATAAAAATAGAATAGATATAATGTGAAGAAAGTTGAAATTTCACTGTAAAACTAATTGACTTTTGATGCTTTTTAGCTATTAGCTAATTTAATAATGTTAATAAATATTTTTCTATTTCAGTAATTTTTGCTTGTGCTTACTGATGCTCCAGTTAGAAGATGCGATTACGAGACAGAAGTTCAGGGCCGAAGGGGTAGAAGAAGACCTAGGAAGACTTTGGAAGAGACTCTAATAAAAGATTTAGAGTACTTAAATCTAACGAAAGACGTGACACATAACCAAGCACAATGGTGTTCTAGGATTCATATAGCCGATCTCACTTAGTGGAAAAATGCTTTATTGTTGTTGTTGTAGTAATTTCTGCTTGTACTTAAAGTGCTGTCAATTCATGCGGGTATATCACCACTGGTGGAAATATATTATTGAATCATGCATCTTTTCAAGCTAGGAAGGATTCCCTTGAATTAAGTATTACTACTAGGCCATGGTGATTTTTGAATCTTTCCAAAGGTTTATAGCATGAAAAGTGAAGGATAAATTCAGAAAATCTAGTCCAGACGGTTAATTTTATTCATGCTCAATCAAATCAAATCACAGCTCAACTTAAGGTAGCTATGATAATTAAATACTTAATTTGTGTAGCCATCTTTGTTAAGATTAGTGAGAAACTCTATACGAATCAAACGAAAGAAAAAAAAAAAAAAACCCAACACATGTCAATTGTTAATTTCGTATACAGTTTTCATTTTTTTTCCACTAAAAACGGTGTTAAAGGGAGTGTGTTTTAAGTGATTTTGACTATGAAGATAATTTTGAGAAAGTTATTTTTGCAAAAGCCCAAAATTATATTTGTTAAGGTTCCCATAGGGCTTGTTTACTATTTTATTGATCTCATAAGATCATGGTGGGATAATGAATCTACCAACTCTCCAAGAAAGAGGAAACAAAAACGAAAGAATGAAAAACAAAAAAGAAGAATAAATGTATAATAAATCATAGAGATTTGACAAGAAAATGGAGTACCGTCTGTCGACTACTTAACGCCCTCTCTTTCCACTTTTATTTGGACTTGGGACTGGGAGCGAAAGAATAAAATGTATAATAAAAGAGAGAAGAAAAGGATAATCTACTGCTACTAATACTAGCCAATTCCAAACAACAATCTAAAGTTCAAAACCAATAAAGTACAAGTCCGAGATTTGTAACATTTCTCTGCAGCACTCGAACAAATTAGTAGAAACAAAATAGAAAGATAAAACCAAATGGTAAATTTGAACCACCGCACTTTCTACTGGTTGCTTTCAATGTCAAGAGTGGCAAGCTGCTGTATGTTCATGGGATAAACCTCGGTACGGTCCCCGCTGAAAGCTTTCCTCCCAATTATGATGTTCACCGCTGATGTCGGGTGGAATGCATCCCAGAAGATATATTGGTCTCGATTTGGGCATGGTGTTTGGAAAGGAAGACATGTAACTTGGCCTCTGTTACGCCCAATACCGCAGCATCCACGATTTGCAATGCTGAATCCTACAAACAGAATTGCACAAATATTGAAATTGCTAGTGTCGACAGACGCATAATTAAAGTTCAATCAGGAATGACTTCAGCTTAAATATACAGTAGCAAGCATACCATAGGATCTAGAATTGAGGAGCATGTCTTCGAACATACGAGCAATGTCTACGTAAATGAACTTTGAGCCTGGTAAGTTGGTATTAAGATTGTTGATCATTGTCTTCACATTTGTATTAAAAGGTAGAACAAGGCGATTCACTTCATCCGAGCAGGTTCCACTTGGATTTTGGGCCAAAATACTTGGAATGCAACCCATTCTCCCTAATCCAGCAATGACAAATTTTCGGGCACCAAGATTGTAAAGTCTCTGGAACATGTCACATATTTTAATAGGATGCTTAGGTAATTGTACGAGAAGTTATGCATGTGTTGTTAAAGTTAGAGCATCCAACGTAAAACCAATTTACAGTACGCATAGTGCCCCTAACTTTCATCGATTATATGATGCAATAACGCTTCAAATACGCAATGTAAGATAATTATAAGATCTAAACATATGGAGCGTCTAGTTAAGGAGGTGAAGTTCTTACAGTGAGCTGCTGTGTATATTCTTGAGCCAAGAGATCAGCATATTGTTGGGCATTGTACTGATTCCTAGTTTGATAGTTGGGCATAAGGTAATTGTTTAGGTAGTCATTGCTGCCCATTCCAACGAAGTAGATGCACTTGGCAATCGATCGAGCAGCATCATCAGCACCAAGATTGTCTGTTATCTGATCAAGTGTATTCTGAAAGTTCCTTATTTGTTCACTAAAAGGTATTCTTCCCACCTGCAGAAAACAATTGTGACAAATAATTCAACTGAAATAATTTCGGATCAAACATGCAAAGCTATGGTTCTGCCAAATCCATGCGAAGTTTAAGATAAATATATTCAGTTAGTTAGTTAATTAAATTCTGAAGCATGAAGTGGTTAATTAATTACAAAGTTTCCGCCAGTGTCATCAAGGATTCCAGCAGCTGCAGATGCATAATTGACTCCATGGCGCATTTGATCACCAGAAGCTTCAGAGTGAGCAGGAATCAAGGGAAGTCCTAGCAGTTCAGCTGCAGGAAGATCAAATTAATTAATTTTTTTTTTAAAAGGAGAGAGAGAGAGAGAGAGATGACAAGAATGTTTAAGTTTTTTTCCCATCATTTTATGGAAGTATTGCCTGGTTTTTATGCCCTAATGAGGAATGTAAAGGTGCCCTTTAATTAGTCGAATGAGCAAATAACATGGATCTCCATGACTTCATTTATGTGTAATTAACAAGTAGGTTAACTAAAAAATTTCGGAGATTAATATCAAATCATATACCAACCCAAGTTGTCTATTCTATATTAAGCAAATAGAGTACCCATAAAACCAAAAAGTAAAATAAAAAAAGCAACGACCAATTTCCTTAAGGTAAAAAAATAAAAAAAATAAAAAAATAACATAAAAGCAGCAGGCAAGAGAGAGAGACCTATTTCATCAACCATGGTGTAACCATTAGAAAAACGGCCAGTAGGACCGCCATTGAAATCAATGCCATAAGGGAAATAGTTAGCCTTGGCAAATGACGGAAGGTCGTTGTTATTCCCATTGTCAATTAGAGAGTCTCCAAATATAAACATGGCAGGCACCGTTTCTGACAACAATCTCCTCCCACCGCCACCGCCACCGCCACCGGCTGACGGTGATGATAAGTTCACGTCTAGGCACCAAACTTCTCCAGCTTCCAGTACCACCATCACCAAAATAACCAAAGAGAACAACCTAATACTGCTACTTGGAAGGTGCCTAGCCATCAATGGCTGAATATTGATGTTTTGAGATGGTCGGGGGGGAGAGAGAGAGAGAGAGAGCGAGAGAGAGAGAGAAGAAATGTAGTTGCTGTATTTGCAGGAGGAGCATGCAGTGATGATTTAATAGGAATGGCAAGGTGGTGGTTGTGAAGGTAATAAATGTTCACGTCTATCAGCTGCAGTAATTTAATACAAAATTTCCCTTCCCAAGCATCCTTCTCTTTTTCCTACCGCTGTTCTAATTTCTTGAAGTTTTTCCAACTCTCTCTCTCACACACACACACACACACACACACACACACACACTCACACAATTGTAAATTGATAGCCATTTCCATGCAACGAATTAATATTCAACCCTAATTAGGTGGTGCACAAAATTAACACGTAAATAATTGGCTAAGTTTATTAAGGCTAGCTTGAGCATCCATATCTGTTGTATAATTTGGAAGAACGGTTAGCACTTAAAAAATTTCATTCTATACTCTTAATTTTTTATAATTATTAAGAAAATAGAAAATTAGATTTTAATTCCTAAATAAGATGAAGTTTATAAAAATGTCTTATACAAGATTAAAAATTAATTTTAGTCCCTAGACTCTATTTAATGCCAGCATATGTATTCAATGTCTTTCTTTTTTATTTATAATTTTATGGTGTTCATAAATTACGTTTCATAAATTACGATTTATGAAAATATTATAAATTTTAATTCTTATTATGGTGAGTTTCTTCTATAAGAAAATATTTTCGTAGAGAATTTTCGGTACACTTATGTTTTTGCATATTTTCTTATGTGCCACTAATTCATTACAATATATTTAGGTACAAACATTTCGGTACACTGGATTAGTATAATATGTTTAGGTACGAATATTTAGGTACACTTGTGACAACCCGTCCCGAATTTTACGATTTTATAAATTTTAAAATGTGAATTCATGAGAATACCCTAGAGGCGAGAGTATTGATTTTCGTTGATCGCTAGTTCATGACGCGTATGAACTATTACCTTACCGTATTTCAAAAGTACGGTGGTAAGGGTTGTTATTCATTATTCTATTCATTCTTATAGTTATTGTTATTTTTTTTTTATTAATTGAGGGTTAGAAAAATTAAAGGGAAAAAGGAGGAAGGCTGCATGATGGCAGCGAAGTGGAGAGGGAGAGAAAGAAGATGGGCACTGCCCAATCAGGAAAGGAGGAGAGTGAGAGTGAAGAATGGGATAGAAGAACTAGGAGGGAAAGGAGGGAGGTGTGGAGCACCCCACCCAGCTGACCCGTACACCCACGGCAAAACCGGTTTCGACCCGATTCTAATTTCAGCTAGATTCCACCACTTTTTTCGACGAAGTCACCCATTCTTCACCTAGAAATCATCCCTTGATCTCCCCTCTTCCATTTCCCCCCAAATTTGGAAGGGATTTGGATGTAAATCATTGAAATAAACCACGTGGGTGCCGTGAGACCCTTGCTCGAAATCCATCAATCGTGAAACCATCTCCTTCAATTACCACCACTAGAACACTCCTCTAGAACCCAGGAACAAAGCCCAGGCAGTGGTGGAGGCGTCGGAGCAAGTTTGGAGGTCGAATCGAGCACACCTAAGTGTAAGGTTTCTGACGGGTTTTTATGAAATTGAAGATCTTCCCGGCTTATTTGGCCTTGGTCATAGGTATGAAAGTTACTCTAATCATTGAGATATTCATTCCTGTAAATTTTGGTAATTTTTGGAAATAGTTGGATTTTCCGGCCAGTTAGGGCGGCCGACCGCCACCCATGACGGCGCGTGGCTAGGGGGCCGTCGAAGTTATTCTTAGGCTAATTAGATGCCTTGAGTTCAGTTTTAGTAATTGTATGACGTAGGTTGATTGTTAGAATCAAAATTCTCTACGATACGTTAATAGGTATTTATGTGAATTGACGATCCGACTGTTGGATCGTCACCAAAATTTAATATGTTTTAGTACGTAGTATTTGAGGACCATAGGAACTTACAGATTAGGAATCCAATATACAGATCTTCCTGAATTGAATTTGTAAGTTCATGAAATAAAAGGTTAACCGCCACTTAGTTTTGGCAATTGGTGGAGATCCGACCGTTGGATCGTAATGGAACTTTAGGATGTTGTTCTAGAAGTATAATGTGTATCTTTGGAAGTAAGGGATCGGAAATCCATGATGTGGATCTTCCGAATCGAATTACATAGGGATGTGTTTATGTAAATTGTGTATTTTATCAGTACGAACTCTGAGATGTGATTTGATAATTGGTTATAGGCGACGATGGTTCGTGATGTCTCGATATGCGTGCTAGGGAGTCGTAGTGCGGACCTCAGGTAAGTGGGTCTTTTCCTTTTTATCGTATGTATATATATATATGATTGACAATTCCACAACGTTTATAAATTGCTTATTGCGTATAATTACTGTGAATGCTTTGAAGTACTTATGTGAACTACGAATGGCTTGATCCTTGTTTAGGGTACGTAGGCAGTCTAACGAGATGTTAGATGCAGCCATACAATATTTGAAACAAAAACCTTGTTTGGGAATTGAGCAATGTGAAGGAAATTGGTGAAAATATGAGATTTAACCTTATGTTTTTAGTGATTGGATGTTGCTCATAAATCAATGTGGAAGGAATCAAGAAACTGAAATAAGGAAATGTAAGTAATGATAGTTAATTAAACTAGTGTTTAGTTACACTTATCCCCGATAATTATTTCTGAAAATAAATAATTCAGGAGTAGGGCATTATAGATTGTGCATTATATATATATATATGTATGTATGTATATATTGGAAAAATACTATGATATGGTTGAGTTTTAGATTTACATTATGGCATATCCATGTGTATACTACCTGCACAAAATTATTATGAATGCTTTGAAATGCGAAGATGAATGTGGAACACACAGGTAAGTTCAGGTGAGTTATGATATTAGTTGAAATGATTGAGTCATGATCACATTATGTTTTAGGCAACTCCGACATTGTAGTACAAATTGCCTATGAGTTGTATATGTCACATGAGATGCATTTAGAGCTCATAAACCTGCACCCCGGTGTTAGTGCTCCCGTCCGTGGCCAGGGCACAGTCTTTCACGTGATGTTCACCTCTCGCACCTTATGCTCACCTTGGATCCAAGGTAGGTGCACAATCCTGTCGTACATACCACTATAGGTGGTTACGACTCATAGGTGACCCGTGATTATTCGCACAGTCTTCACGTGATCGTAGCACTTGAGCGTACTTATTTACACCTAGTCCTGTTGTACAGACCACTTTAGGTGGTTCCGACTCGTGTGCAGGTATACTGATTGAGCTATGGATAAGTCGTATAGGTCACTAGAAGTGACTCCAACTTATGAGCTAGCATATGTGATGAGATATGTGATGAGCTAGCATATGCAATGAAATATGTGATGAGCTAGCATATGCGATGAAATATGTGATATGTGATGAGCTAGCATATGCGATGAAATATGTGATGCGCTAGCATATGCGATGAAATATGTGATGCGCTAGCATATGTGATGAGATATGGGTAAGTCGTACAAGTCACTATAGGTGACTTCGACTTGCGTACTAGTATGGGTTATTAATCACATGATTATCGATATTGCTGATGAGATGCTGTGTTGTTGTATATTTATGATTTTTCTGGAAATTATACAGGTGTTATAACGTGGGGTTATAATGTTTTATATGGGTTCTCATAAAATTTTATTTCCAGGGCCACTCAACCTTATTTTGTTTTCGCCCTCCAGGTTTTATTAGTTGAGCTTTCTTATCGTTGAAGATTCGTGGCGATCCTTAGTATTGAAGATTATTTTGAGGGTACGATTCTTAATTCACTCTACTGTACTTACTTATGCTCTAACGTCATGTGTGAAGTGGATTCATTCCCGCTCACCAGCATATTCTGGTATTTAGGTACTCTTAGGTTTAAATTTATTCACATTTTCCACATCATCATACTTTATGGCTTCGTCACCCTCCAGGTGTCGGCCAACACAACTTGATTCGGAGTCCTAGTGGACATCCCGGGTCGGGATGTGTCAACACTAGTTTAGTATAATATATTTAGGTACCGACATTTCGGTACACTAGTTTAGTATCATATAGTTAAGTATAGAATTTTCGGTACACTTATGTTTTTGCATATTTTCTTATATATATGTCACTAATTCACTACAATATATTTAGGTACGGACATTTCGGTACACTAAATTAGTAAAATATATTATGATACAGACATTTAGGTACACTAATTAGAAGAAGTCAAATAAAATTAATGAATTAAAATGTGTATAATAATAAATTTAAAATTTAATGTAATGACATTAAATAAGATATCTATTAAATATTAAAACAAAAATATAATATTAATTTGAATTAAGTACATATTAAGGGACTAAAATCAATATCCAATATAACACCAGGTTTTTGTTCCACGCAGAAATTCTAAATTTCTATGTTTATGAATCCAAACAAGGAAATTGGTGCATGTCAATTTATACATTCTGGCTTTTATCAAAATTTCAAGTCTATTTCCCTCATCCAAACATAATGTAAGCTTTTCCACTTCAAAAGGTACAGTAATAGGATGTCATATTGTCTCTCTTGCGTTACTCTTCCACGTAAAACTATTTTTCGGGACTGAGCTGGTGCACTAGCAGCACTCGCGCGCGCAAAAGAAAGGAGAGGACCAACCAAGACATACGTGCAGTCACGTAAACTCAACATGTGAGTCGACAAATATTTATCTGCGTTTTTTGTGGTTTTGTGGAATTCGTTGTAGTTGATAAATTCCATTTTTGTTGCTGAAATGAAACCTTGATGATCTTCACTTCATGTCTAGAACTCTTCAAGACTTTCTTTTAATAAATGTTTTGAGTCCTTGGAACTCAAATTTGGCCACTTACTCTAATTAACCCCATATCCAAATGATGTTTCACATGTATGCATCCAGGTGCAGGCCAGAACTCTTAACAAGAACCTTGAGTTATGAATGCAAGAAGTCAACACGTGATGTGCCCAAGGATCAA